TCCAGAGGATCCGAGAGAAAGGGGTGAGGTTGAGACAAACAGACACCTTCCGTTATAAATACACCCACACCTACACTTTTATAATTTTTGTTTTTTGGAAACTGGGATCAAATGTTAGGAAGGCAGGAGCCACTGGCCATCCCAAGGGACAACTCTGGCTGCTCTTAACTGGTCACACGAGGCTGGACTCCAGCTCCAGGCTCACACCAACTCCAGCTGTGTTGGAAGAGGTGCTGCAGGTCAAAATTCTGAGTGACCTTTGGGGAATGTCCAGGAGGGACGTCCTGGGCTCTGTGCAGAATTCCTTTCCCAGCCCAGTAGCTCTGCAGTCTGTCCATATAACCCAGTGAATACTGTGGTGCGTGGAAAGTTCATTTCCCTTAAGGCAGCTTTCCTTTCTCCTCTTTCCCTACTCCTATGGTTTTGATTCTTTTGTAAGGCAAATCTAGAGAGGGCTTTGTCATTTCAAACAGGAATACACACACTCTCTTTCTCTTTCCACCTTTGCGACACGGGCAGTGTTGTACAAAGGATGCAGTATTACTTCTGACTACAGAACTGTGGTAGAAAATGACCATGTGTGTTTTTATCCCGCCCCACCCAAAGAGATTTAGTCATAGTGTTGGAAATTGAAAGAGATTTTTTTTTAAGGCTTGGCTGTTACTGAGTCTTTTGGAAGAGTAAAGCTCCCATGTGGTGTTTAGAGGACAGGACATTATCAGATACTGTCTGTATCTGTTTTCTCAAGCTCTAGGTGTGCGTTTCTGATGACCAGTGGTCACAAATTCACTGGAAACCCAAGCTATTTTTGAAGAGGAGAATTATATGGTTTTTATCTAGCTCTGGTCAGTTATCCATCTTCTGTAACAAGGGTCTGATATTTGAGCTTGTCACTAAAATTTCAAGAGATGAAAATCAACAGCCTTGAAAAATATTTCAGGTTTTTTGTTTTGTTTTGGTTGGTTGTTTTTTTTTTTATTATTATTTTTTTAGCAGTTACAAAAGTAATTTAACAAAAATAAAATCAGAAAGTAGTCTATTGACGTTGTGTACTCGGTAGTCCTGTCCCTGCCTGTAACAGATTTCACTGATGTATTTTTTAATACAGAAAATTATGTGAAAAGTAAAACCTGCCCCTGATTCTGTCTGACCAAAGCCCATCTGTGTCTGTCATTTCTGAGCAAAGGTTCTGCTTTCTCCATGGCCTGGCAGGGGGAGATGTTTTGGCCACTCCTCAGCACAGGGATGCTCCTGCAGGCTCAGTTCCTGCTCCAACCTGCCCCTCCCCATTGTTACACTGAACAGTGACATTGCAGGCACAGTGGTTTGGATTGGGAAGGGACAGGGAAAACAAAATCATGCTGGAAAGATCAGTTTGGAGGGGATTGAGAATGTCTGAGATGTGTCTGCTGCTCACAGCTGTGCCCAGAGCCTCGGTGGCACAGGGGAGGCTCCAGGAATTCCTGTGTCTCCTCTTCCTTCCCTGACCCCCCTGGGAATGAGAAGGCAGCAGTGAGGACAGGCTGTGGGGAGGGCAGGATGGGGATGGTGTGCAAAATAATCCCAAAGTTGAGAGTTCCTTAATAGAGTTTAACAGAAATATTCCCATTGAATAACGCAGGATGTTTGTACCTTATGGGAAACACTTTTCTTCCTCTGAACACCCTCACTGTTTCTTATCTGGGAACACCTTAATTGTGGCCAATTTTTTTGCAGGCACTGAGAATGAAAGATAGGCAAGCAAAATCACTTTGACTTTCACTGGCTGAGAGCAGAGTTGTTAAACATGGTGTAAACTCCTTTGGTGTGGTGGCTGTGACATGAGAAACATTTCATTGCAGTTCCATGGTAATAATTAACACAGTAAGTAGTTTTAGTTTCTATTTCACTCCTGCTTGGAGGCCCTTTGGCAATGGTCTGTTTTTCCCAGGGTCTGCTTGGGCTGTTTTTGCCTCTTGAGGGATTTCTTGTCAGCTCAACTCAAGTTCACACAGACAACACAAGAAGGATTACCTTGAAGGATTAAAGTATATACAAATTATACACACAGGCTCAAAGTTCTGAACACAATCTTGTTTGTAATCACCATTTCTGACTACTGAGCACACAACATTTATTGAGATACTGTTTTAAACAAAAAAAAAAATAAAATCATGCTGTGTCCTGCTGAATCCCAGAGTCAACTGGGCTGGAAAAGTCCTTTGAGATCATCAAGTCCACCCTGAGACCAGCACCAGCTTGTCAACCAGACCATGGCACTGAGTGCCACATCCAGTGTTAAACTGTAGTTTCAGTGTGGACAGAGAAGCAATAAAGATGAGTGTGAGAAAGAAAAATGGAAAACTCCCTGCTACAGGGTTCCTCCAGCAGCTCCCAGTGCAGGAGGTGCTCAGTGCAAACCCACTGCTCCATCCTGGCTTCACTTCACTAAAGAAGGGAACTGGGGGCATGCTGAAAGCCACAGAACCGGGTGTAAAACCAAGTCAAATTACCTTGGGAATTATTCTGCCAACTACTGCTTTAAAAAAACACACCAGGATTTCTCTGGAATAGTTTCCAACTCCTTGGAGGTTTAAAACAGCAGCAAAGTTCCTCATCACATGTCCCCAGCTGTGCTGCTGCCTCAGTGCAGGGCTCACAGGTGACTCACAGCAATGTGCAATAAAGTCATTGGGTTTTGGTAATAATCTCAGTAACTCCCAGGTCTCCTGAGCAGCAATTTCACTGTTGCCTTAACAACCAAAGAAGCCAGAACAAATCTCCTGCAGCCAGTGCTTACTGTGCTCGTAACCCTGGCATGGCTGGAACTTTGCTCCCCTCGGCACAACAGGTTCCTCCCCATTCTTCCTTGGCCTCTTGTCCTTTTTAAACATTCCAAAGGCAAAACAAAGATTTGCTGCCTTCATTAAGGAGCAGCTCCCTAGCAGTACTTCCCCTGTGGCATCATCAGCCTTATAAGAAACAAGGTTTGAGCTTTTGATCTCTCAAGCATTAACTGTTGGGTTTTTTCCTTTACCTGTGTATGAGCACCAAAAGTCTGTAAAAATCACAGACCATTGGTGAAGAGAAAGGCTAGAGGAGTTTTGGGAGCACTGAAATGGGTGTGTTGTGCCTCTGAGAGCTGCAGGTCCTGTCTGACATTGCCAGAGCTTCACACCTGCCATGGGTGATGTGACACAGGAGTCCCCATGGGATGCCCCCCCTTTGCCTTACAGGGAAATCCCTTTGCTCCAGCAGCACAGAGCTGGGCAGGCAGGACTGACTCTGCTTTTCCATCTTCCCCAGGAGGAAACAATTGGTTTGGAAACCATGAGGAGGTCAAATGGTTTTGCACAGTATTACTGTATTTGTTAGGAAGTTGACCCCAGCCCTTTTTTAGGTAGATTTTTTTAAACTAAGGAAGAAATCACTCATTTAGTCTGACCACTGGCACCAATTGCAGCAGAGCTATAAGAACTTGCCTTTTATCTTCAGTTTTCCCACCGCAATCCCAAGGAGCATTCCAGAAGTTTTCTGTTGTGTTGTGCTCTCAGAGGGAACAATTTTGGACATGCCAGGAGGAGCAAGTGGCAGAAGAGCTGTTGCAAGGTGCTGGGAATGTGCTTTGGGGAGGCAGGTAATTGATGGTACATGGCAAAACACTAATATAAATATGAAATCCCTAAGATTAATGGGTTTATATTCCAAACATCTCATTGAGGAGGTCCTTGGTGCTCAGCCACTGGCACCAGTGCTGGCTCTGCTCCAGGGAGTGTTGCACAGATGCAGAATGGTTTTTAAAGTCATAAAGGCTCAAAAGAACTTGGGCAGCTTGGATTCCTCTAGCCATAGAACTGAAATGTCCATTGGACATCACATTGCCCAGGCTGATGGATTTTCAGCAGATATTCAACTTTTCTTAAAGACCTGGGATGCCTGGCTTTCACCTCTCAGATGGGAGAAGGGAATGTATGACAATGAAACAGTGAAGTTGGTCAGAGCTTTACACCCCACATCTCAAAATGAATCCCAAGAACATTTTAATCTTGGAAAATACAAGTGGATGTGGGCAGCACAAGCCACACACCCCAGTTTGGTAGCCTTGATTCTTAGTCAGCCTTTGGGTGTGTCAAGAGGCTTTTTATCCTCTCTTCTGCACATTTATAGCATAAACAGCCAGAGCAATTTGCAAAGGTCTTTTGGACCTGCTGGGAGTCAGGCTGCAGCTTTGGAGGGAAGGGTGAGGGTGGTGGCACCTGAACTTTCTCCCCAGCTAAGCCCCAAACTCACCCCCAGCCCCAGCACACACTTCCCATCACTCCTGAGGATTGATGACCCCTCATGTTTTCTCCCTTCCAATCTGTCCCTGGGCGGTACCCTCTGTAAATTGGCCAGACTTTCCTACCTCGTTTGGGCATTATCAGGCAGAATTCCACAGGATGCTTTGCAGCCCTGTGATGAAAGGTGCTATAAAAATGCAAAGTGTTAATTCAGATGTAACTAGGTCAGCAGTGCATCATTACCTATATTAAACAGAGATTTTCTAATATGAGAATTTATAGAGTTCAATGTATGGTATTCATAAGTGAATTATTGAGACCCTCAAAAGAGTTTTTGTTTCAATCATACCTGTATTCTGGAAAAGTGATTAAAAACATTTAACCTTAATGAAAGAGTGCAGCCATCCTCCTTTCCTCTATGACGCTGGAATCTAAAAGCAGTTTACAAACCAGCTTGAAAGCAGAATCTCACAGATTTCATGTGGGGAGGGCTCAGTAGTTTTTAAGCCACAGTTAAAATTGCAGCTGATCACCTGCACAGCAGCACCTGGTGGTTCCCACTCACACTGGGTTCTGTTGCTCTGGCGTGGGCTGTAACTTCTCCCCTGCCCCAAACTGAGAGCAGGGGAACTGGGGGCAGCATCAGCGAGCAGGTCAGTGCTGGGGACTGAGCATCCCCTGTGCCCTGTCCCCCTCTAATGCCACCATCAGCCAAGAGAGCAGCCACACACAGACACCAACTCTGCTGCAAGCAAGGAGCTTTTATTGGCTTCAGGGAAATCACTGCTCACAAAATCCAAACCTTTTGAAAGGGGAGGCAGAGCCCTGAGGGGTCTGTGGGGGTTTCCCAGCACCTGCACTGTGCAAGGCACGGCTTTGGGATCAGCAACCTGCTGGAGTTCTCCTGGTTTGCTCGTATGGAGTTGTCTCCTGCGCAGGTTTTTCACGAGTTACTTTTTCTTGGGTTGGTCACTTGGGATTTTATCCTTTTTTTACATTTGTCACTTGGACGTTTCTTTCACTTGGACAGCAAGGGCACCAGTTGCTGCGCCAGCTGAGCCCAGGGCAACTTTGGCACCAACAGAAAGACCTGCAGCTCCTGCAGAGACAAATTGAGATGTGAACTCCCAGGAGCATCAAGGCTGCCTGCTGAGGGACTGAGCACTGGGCACAGCCAGCCAAGGACTCCTCCTGGGCAGGGAGAACCCAGAGAGTGTGGAGCAATTCAGAGCAGGGAGGGGTTAAAGGGCTGCTCTGGCTCTAGAGCCAAAGAGCCGCTCTTTGCCTCTGTGTCCCCATCCCTGCAGCCCCATTGTTCTCCCTGCCATGGAGATGCAGCCCAGCTCCCCTGCCCTCCCCACTCACCGACGGACTGCAGCACAGCCACGGTGCTGCCTGCAGCCACTCCGCCGCCGTTGGCGATGGCAGCTGCCGACATCATCTTGGCAGCGAAGGAGCCGGCGGCGATGCCGGCCTTGGTGAAACCCAGTGCAGCAACACCCAGTGGGACGCCAAAGAGTAGCACTCCTGCAGGGAGGGCAGAGCAGCGTTAGGGTTCTCTCTGTGACCCCCATCTCCCCCTGCCACCTGCCCCAGACCCGGCCTCCCCAAAAGCACCTGGGGAGCAGAGCGGGCAGCGAGGGCTGGGGCTGCAGGGACGGGGACAGCCCTGGGCGGCAGGAGAGGAGCAGCGTGCAGGGCTGCGGCAGCGGGGGCAGACACAACTCCATTCCAGGCACTGCCCAGAGCTGCCTCTCTTCCACCCACCAATTCTCCCCAGCCCTTGCAGCCCCCAGGACCCCACGGGGCTGGGACCGGGCAGTGAACCCGAGCGCTGCTCATCCCGTGCCAGACCCTCACCTGCTCCCACCGTGGCTGCAATGACAGTTCCAATGGCACTTCCACCGTCCCCTGAGAAAGAAAAATGCAGGAGAGTAGGAAGAACATGAGCATGGACAGCAAAGCTCCCCTGAGCAGCAGCAGCTCCTCCAGCCTCCCCCTGCCTCCAGCCCCTGAAGACCCCTGGGAAGAGCCCTCTGGAGAGGTGGGTGCCACTGCCCCCCCAAATTGGGAGGAAAAGGGGGAAGGGGCACACCCCGGAGTGCCCACCCACCCTGTCCTTTCCACCGCCCCCACAAACCCAGAACAGCACAGGACACACAGCACGTGTCAGCCCAGTCTGTCCCCTGCACTGCCCAGATGGCCCCTGTGCCCACAGCCACCACTGAGCACGGAGTTCCTCGTGTTCAGATCTGTGGCCAATCCATGCATGCGTCAGACCCAGAGCCCCTCAGTGGCTGGAGGATGCTCAGGATGGGGTTTTGGGGGTGGCTGCCCTTTGTGGGCGATGGGATGCTCCAGGATGCAGGCGAGGTTCAGTGGTTTGAGCTGTGGGGGCACCTGGAAGGCTGCACCCCACTAAGAGCATCCTCAGCTTGTGCCAGGGAATTGGCCTGCAGTCAGCTCTGCTCCCTGAGCACACCCAGCCCCTTTCTGCTCTGCTTTTCTGTCTCTGGCCAAGTGCTGCCAGTGGACACAGCAGTTCTTGCCACAGAGCACTCACCTGCCTGCACAGCCCCAATGCCCTCAGCCCCAACCCCGACCCCAGCAGGTCCTGGCTCTTCTCACCACATTGGGATGGATCCCTTTCCCACACTTTGGGCACACTCAGACCAGTGAGGGCTTCAAGAGCTGCTTTGGCTGCAGAGTAAGCTCAGGCTACAACCCCGTGTTCCACCCAGCGCAGCTCAGCCCATCTGCACTAAAGCCCCTCTCAGCTGGAGCCCAGCGCCCCGTGCCGGGCAGGGCAGGGTCCCAGAGGCAGCAGCAGCTCTGCCGGCTCCTTCAGCCCTCCGGGAGGAGACAGCTGCTCCTCTCTGGATCAGGAAACCATGGAATATCCTGAGCTGGAAGGGACACACAGGACCATCAGCCCATCTGCCGCCCAGGCCACCCCAAGAACCCACCCTGAGCCCCAAGCATGGCTCAGTGGGACCCAGGAGCTCTGGATGCAGCAGGGAAATCTCCTTTGCCTTCTGACCAAAGCTGCGGTTTGTAAAGCATTGTCTTCTGGCTGGCTCTCTGGGATGGCCTCTAGAATCCTCCAGAACCAGGGGGGAGCAGGGGCGAACCCCAGGGTCCCTGTGCCCCCCTCAGGACCTAAACCCCCACCCGAGGAACCTCCCAGCTCACCCATGGTCGTCTGGGCGGGAGCGAGATCTGCGATGATTCTGCTCTAATCCCGGATCCTTGGGGAACGAGAACAACATTTTGCGTAGGCAGCAGATGAGATCAGCGGGGCTTTCTTGCCCTGCGCGATCGCCTCCAGCCACCCCTCTCCCACCCAGGAACTCCCGCCCCCTCCCCTTAAAAGCAGAGACGAGCCCGCGGCCACCACCACCCTCCCCTGCTCCCGCCCGGCCGGGTTTTGGTGGCTGCTCCGCCGGCACAGCGAGGGGAGCAGCCCCCGGTTCTGTCCCCCCCATTACAGAAAGGCTGCTGTCCCCAAACACCGGCCGCCCGTCAGCAACCTGTGTGGACTCTGCTCTGAGGGACAAGGGCTGCAGGACAGTACCAGCAAAGGTGTGTCGGGTCAGCTGATGTACGAGGTGTTCTGAAGCCGCTCGCTCGGTTTCACTCTCTCCTTAACCCTTGATGGTGCTGTCTCTGCTCGAGCAGGGCCGGGGCTCTCCCGTCCTCACCCTGGGGTGTCCCCTCAGGAGCCCTTTGGCCCCCAAGGCCTCGGGCGGGGGCTGAGGGGGAAGGACGCGCCGGGCCGGGGCTGCTCAGGCTGTGCCGGGGCTCCTGTGGCTTCACGGAGCCTTTCCCCAGCAGGTTTGGGGCCGATGAAACTACGCGGCTCCGAGGAGCACCCACAGCAGCCTGGAGAGCAGAGCTGGAGCCGCTCTGCCTCCTCCTCCCCACAGGGCAGCCTCAAAAACCGGCTGAAACCCCTCTCTGCACGCCCCCTTTGCTTCTGCTGCGCGGGGTCAATTGTATCTGTACTATGGAAAAGTGATTAAAAACCTTTAACCTTAATGAAAGAGTGCATCCATCCTCTGGCTTGGGCTGTAACTTCTCCCCTGCCCCAAACTGAGAGCAGGGGAACTGGGGGCAGCATCAGCGAGCAGGTCAGTGCTGGGGACTGAGCATCCCCTGTGCCCTGTCCCCCTCTAATGCCACCATCAGCCAAGAGAGCAGCCACACACAGACACCAACTCTGCTGCAAGCAAAGCACTTTTATTGGCTTCAGGGAAATCACTACTCAAGAGAATCCAAAGCTTTTGATAGGGGAGGCAAAGATCTGAGGGGTGTGTGGGGTTTTCTCAGCTGCATTGTGTAAGGCACGGCTCTGGGATCAGCAACCTGCTTGGCTTCTCTTGGGTTGCTTGTCTGGAGTTGTCACCTCCTCATGTTTGTCACCCGAGTTACTTTTCCTTGGGTTGGTCACTTGGAGGTTTCTATCACTTGGGCAGCAAGGCACCAACTGCTGCGCCAGCTGAGCCCAGGGCAGCTGTCAGCCCAGTTTTGGCAGCAAGAGAGAGACCTGCAGCTCCTGCAAAGACAAATCGAGATGTGAACTCCCAGGAGCATCAAGGCTGCCTGCTGAGGGACCGAGCACTGGGCACAGCCAGCCAAGGGCTCCTCCTGGGTAGGGAGAACCCAGAGAGTTTGGAGCAATTCAGAGCAGGGAGGAGCTGAGTTGCTCTGGCTCTAGAGCCAGCGTGTTTTCCCTGCCATGGAGATGCAGCCCAGCTCCCCTGCTCTCCCCACTCACCGATGGACTGCAGCACAGCCACGGTGCTGCCTGCAGCCACTCCGCCACCGTTGGCGATGGCAGCTGCCGACATCATCTTGGCAGCGATGGAGCCGGCGAGGATGCCGGCCTTGGTGAAACCCAGTGCAGCAATGCCCCCCGGGACACCAAAGAGTGCCAATCCTGCAGGGAGGGCAGAGCAGCGTTAGGGTGCTCTCTGTGACCCCCATCTCCCCCTGCCACCTGCACCAGACCCGGCCTCCCCAAAAGCACCCAGGGAGCAGAGCGGGCAGCGAGGGCTGGGGCTGCAGGGACGGGGACAGCCCTGGGCGGCAGGAGAGGAGCAGCGTGCAGGGCTGCGGCAGCGGGGGCAGACACAACTCCATTCCAGGCACTGCCCAGAGCTGCCCCTCCACCCCTCTTCCTCCCACCTGCACCCCAATTCTCCCCAGCCCTGGTCCTTGCAGCCCCCAGCCCAGCCCGGTCCCCAGGACCACGCGTGGCTGGGACTGGCCAGTGAACCCGAGCGCTGCTCATCCAGTGCCAGATCCTCACCTGCTCCCACTGTGGCTCCAATGACAGCTTTAATGATAATTATATTCCCCCCTGAGAAAGAAAATGGCAGAAGAGGAGGAAGGACATGAGCATGGACAGCACAGCTCCCCTGAGCAGCAGCAGCTCCTCCAGCCTCCCCCTGCCTTCAGCCCCTGAAGAGGCCACTGGTGGAGTGGTTCCCAATACCCCCCCAGATTGGGAGGAACAGGGAGAAGGGGCACACCCCGGAATGCCCACCCTGCCCTGCCCGCCACACCCACCTACCTGGAACAGCACAGGACACACAGCACGTGTCAGCCCAGTCTGTCACCTGCACTGCCCAGATGGCCCCTGTGCCCACAGCCACCACTGAGCACGGAGCTCCTTGTATTTAGACCCATGGCCAATCCATGCATGCGTCAGACCCAGAGCCCCTCAGTGGCTGGAGGATGCTCAGGATGGTGTTTGGGGGTGGCTGCCCTTTGTGGGTGATGGAATGCTCCAGGAGGCAGTCGAGGTTCAGTGGTTTGAGCTGTGGTGGCGCCTGGAAGGCTGCACCCCACTAAGAGCATCCTCAGCTTGTGCCAGGGAATTGGCCTGCAGTCAGCTCTGCTCCCTGAGCACACCCAGCCCCTTTCTGCTCTGCCTTTCTGTCTCTGACCAGCGCTGCCAGTGGACACAGCAGTTCTTGCCACAGAACACTCACCTCCCTGCACAGCCCCTGATCCCCTCAGCCCCAACCCCAGCAGGTCCTGGCTCTTCCTGCCACATTGGGATGGATCCCTTTCCCACACTTTGGGCACACTCAGACCAGTGAGGGCTTCAAGGGCTGCTTTGGCTTCAGAGTAAGCCCAGGGTACAACCCCGTGTTCCACCCAGCGCAGCTCAGCCCATCTGCACTAAAGTCCCTCCCAGCTGGAGCCCCGTGCCCTGAGCCCGGCAGGGTCCCAGAGGCAGCAGCAGCTCTGCCAGCGCCGCCCTCCTTCAGCCCGCCGGGAGGAGAGGGGAGAAGGGGCGAACCCCAGGGTCCCTGTGCCCCCCTCGATCTGCCCCCCTCAGGGACCAGACTGCCATCCCAGGAACCTCCCAGCTTACCCATGGCCATCTGGATGGGACGAGATCTGCGATGAGTCTGCTCTAATCTCGGTACCTCGGGGGAACGAGAACAAGATTTTTTTGCGTGGCCGGCAGCTGCGACCAGCGGGGCTTTGTTGCCCGACACGATCGCCCCCAGCCGCCCCTCTCCCACCCAGGAGACCCCGGCCCTTCCCCTAACAAGAAGAAACCCCCCTCCTCTCCCCAGCCCCGGCTGCTCCCCGGCCGCTCCGCCGGCACAGCGAGGAGAACCCCCCGTTATTGTCCCCTCCTCAGAGAAAGGCTGCTGTGCCCACACACCCACGGCGGCTCCTCACGCCTCCAATCTCTCGTCCGTTTGTTGTGCTCTGAGGAGGCGAGGGCTGAGGAAAGGCGGAGCTAAGGGGAGCGGCCGCTCAGCTGATTTCCGAGAAATCAGCAAGGAAGCCGCTCGCTCAGTTTCGCTTTCTGGGTAACCCTTGATGGTGCTGCCTCTGCTCGAGCAGGGCTGGGGCTCTCCCGTCCTCACCCTGGGGTGTCCCCTCAGGAGCCCTTTGGCCCCCAAGGCCTCGGGCGGGGGCTGAGGGGGAAGGACGCGCCGGGCCGGGGCTGCTCAGGCTGTGCCGGGGCTCCTGTGGCTTCACGGAGCCTTTCCCCGGCAGGTTTGGGACCGATGAAACTCCGCGGCTCCGAGGAGCACCCACAGCAGTCTGGAGAGCAGAGCTGGAGCCGCTCTGCCTCCTCCCCACAGGGCAGCCTCAAAAACCGGCTGAAACCCCTCTCTGCACGCCCCCTTTGCTTCTGCTGCGCGGGGTCAATTGTATCTGTACTATGGAAAAGTGATTAAAAACCTTTAACCTTAATGAAAGAGTGCATCCATCCTCTGGCTTGGGCTGTAACTTCTCCCCTGCCCCAAACTGAGAGCAGGGGAACTGGGGGCAGCATCAGTGAGCAGGTCAGTGCTGGGGACTGAGCATCCCCTGTGCCCTGTCCCCCTCTAATGCCACCATCAGCCAAGAGAGCAGCCACACACAGACGCCAACTCTGCTGGAAGCAAAGCACTTTTATTGGCTTCAGGGAAATCCCTGCTCACAACAATCCAAACCTTTTGAAACGGGAGGCGAAGATCTGAGGGGTCTGTGGGGGTTTCCCAGCACCTGCACTGTGCAAGGCACGGCTTTGGGATCAGCAACCTGCTTCGTTTCTCTTGGGCTGCTTGTCTGGAGTTATCTCCTCCTCATGTTTGTCACTCAAGTTACTTTTTCTTAGGTTTGTCACTTGGGCTTTTATCCTTTTTTAGGTTAGTCACTTGGAGGTTTCTTTCGCTCAGTTAGCTGGGCACCGGTTGCTGCGCCAGCTGAGCCCAGGGCAGCTGTCAGCCCAGCTTGGGCACCAACAGAAAGACCTGCAGCGCCTGCAAAGACAAATCGAGATGTGAACTCCCAGGAGCATCAAGGCTGCCTGCTGAGGGACCGAGCACTGGGCACAGCCAGCCAAGGGCTCCTCCTGTGCAGGGAGAACTCAGAGAGTGTGGAGCAATTCAGAGCAGGGAGGGGTTAAAGGGCTGCTCTGGCTCTAGAGCCAGCGTGTTTTCCCTGCCATGGAGATGCAGCCCAGCTCCCCTGCCCTTCCCACTCACCGACGGACTGCAGCACAGCCACGGTGCTGCCTGCAGCCACTCCGCCGCCGTTGGCGATGGCAGCTGCCGACATCATCTTGGCAGCGACGGAGCCGGCGGCGATTCCGGCCCCGGTGAACCCCAGGGCGCCGAGGAACACCGGGACGCCAACCAGTGCCAATCCTGCAGGGAGGGCAGAGCAGTGTTAGGGTGCTCTCTGCGACCCCCATCTCCCCCTGCCACCTGCACCAGACCCGGCCTCCCCAAAAGCACCCAGGGAGCAGAGCGGGCAGCGAGGGCTGGGGCTGCAGGGACGGGGACAGCCCTGGGTGCCAGAAGAGGAGCAGCGTGCAGGGCTGCGGCAGCGGGGGCAGACACAACTCCATTCCAGGCACTGCCCAGAGCTGCCTCTCTTCCACCCACCAATTCTCCCCAGCCCTTGCAGCCCCCAGGACCCCACGGGGCTGGGAACGGGCAGTGAACCCGAGCGCTGCTCATCCAGTGCCAGATCCTCACCTGCTCCCACTGTGGCTCCAATGACAGCTCCAATGCCACTTCCATTGTCCTCTGAGAAAGAAAATGGCAGGAGGAGAGGAAGAACATGAGCATGGACAGCACAGTTCCCCTAACCAGCAGCAGCTCCTCCAGCCTCCACCTGGTTTCAGCCCCTAAAGCCCCCTGGGGAGAGGCCTCTGGAGGAGTGGGTCCCAATGTCCCCTCAGATTGGGAGGAACAGGGAGAAGGGGCACACCCCAGAGTGCCCACCCTGCCCTGCCCGCCACACCCACCTACCTGGAACAGCACAGGACACACAGCACGTGTTGTTATGAACAAAATTCGGGTAATATTTTTTGTGAGAAAAAGTTACAAAAAATAAAGCAGCCAGACCACGGATAGCTGCTGAAGTTCTTCGTGTTTTGTTATTGTAATCACGAGTCGTTGTGGCTAATCGCTCCTTTTGTATCAGCAGAGCCTCGCCCGAGGCTAAGTTGTACCTTTCTCAGAAGGGTGGGAACCTTCCGGAACAGTAGAAGAGACCTGAGAAGGTGAGGGGGGCTATGCAAAGTGACTCCAAGACCACAATGCAGCATGGGTCCCCCGGTGTACAGAGAAGACCCCAAAACGACGAGCCACCTAAGAGTTGAGAGACTGGAGTGATGTCTGGACTTGAGGAGCCGAGTGCTGAGCCTGCAGAGATGCGGAACACCTTCAGAGCCTCTTGCCCTGACCAAGAGAGACGACCCCGGCGGTGAGACCAGGCCGACTGAGCCGGCAAAAGTACCATCTGACGGGATCAGCAGGCCCTAAAGGCTCCCACGAGGACGTGATCCCCAGCTCTGCCCCTTGTGGACAGAGCTGCGCATATCCTCCTGCTCTGAGTCGCTTTGGGAGAGACGACGGAGACTGCAGACCCGTCGAGCTGCCCAATCCTGAGCTGATCACTTTTAATAAAGGCATTGAAAAAGGAGAAGAAGTCTCCGGGCCCTTTGTTTATTTCACGTGTCAGCCCAGTCTGTGTCCTGCACTGCCCAGATGGCCCCTGTGCCCACAGCCACCCCTGAGCACGGAGTTCCTCGTGTTCAGATCTGTGGCCAATCCATGCATGCGTCAGACCCAGAGCCCCTCAGTGGCTGGAGGATGCTCAGGATGGTGTTTGGGGGTGGCTGCCCTTTGTGGGTGATGGGATGCTCCAGGATGCAATCGAGGCTCATTGGTTTGAGCTGTGGTGGCACCTGGAAGGCTGCACCCCACTAAGGGTCACCTCAGTCGGTGCCAGGGAATTGGCCTGCAGTCAGCTCTGCTCCCTGAGCACATCCAGCCCCTTTCTGCTCTCCATTTCCACCTCTGGCCAGTGCTGCCATTGGACACAGCAGTTCTTGCCACAGAGCACTCACCTCCCTGCACAGCCCCTGATCGCCTCAGCCCCGACCCCTACCCCAAGAGATCCTGGCTCTTCCCACCACATTGGGATGGATCCCATTCCCTCAGTTTGGGCACATTCAGACCAGTGAGGGGTTCAAGGGCTGCTTTGGCTTCAGAGTAAGCCCAGGCTACAACCCCGTGTTCCACCCAGCACAGCCCAGGCCCCCTGCCCTCTCCACTCACTCTCAGATCTGCGATCCTTTGCTGCTGCTCCTGCAAGGGAGGACAATGAAGCGTTAGGGTGCTCTCTGTGACCCCCATCGCCCCCTGCCACCTGCACCAGACCCGGCCTCCCCAAAAGCACCCGGGGAGCAGAGCGGGCAGCGAGGGCTGGGGCTGCAGGGACGGGGACAGCCCTGGGCGGCAGGAGAGGAGCAGCGTGCAGGGCTGCGGCAGCGGGGGCAGACACAACTCCATTCCAGGCACTGCCCAGAGCTGCCCCTTCCCTCTTAGCAGCACAAGCAGTGAAGCCGAGCGCTGCTCACCCCGTGCCAAATTCTCACCTCCAATTGTAGATCCAGTGATGAGCAGAGTGATGATGGCAACGGCGACTACCCGTGTACCTAAGATGGAAAAGGGCTGAAGGGCAGCAGTGTGGGCAACAAAGCCCCTCTCAGCTGGAGTCCAGCGCCCCGTGCCGGGCAGGGCAGGGTCCCAGAGGCAGCAGCAGCTCTACAAGCACCGCCCTCCTTCAGCCCTGCAGAGGCCCGGGAGGAGAGGGGAGCAGGGGCGAACCCCAGGGTCTCTGTGCCCCCCTCAGGACCCCGGCCCCCACCCCAGGAACCTCCCAGCTCACCCATGGTCGTCTGGGCGGGAGCGAGATCTGCGATGATTCTGCTCTAATCCCGGATCCTTGGGGAACGAGAACAACATTTTGCGTAGGCAGCAGATGAGATCAGCGGGGCTTTCTTGCCCTGCACGATCGCCCCCAGCCGCCCCTCTCCCACCCAGGAGACCCCGGCCCCCTCCCCTCACAAGAAGGGACCCCCCCGTCTCCCCAGCCCCGGCTCCTGCCCGGCCGCTCCGCCGGCACAGCGAGGGGAGCAGCCCCCGTTATTGTCCCCCCATTACAGAAAGGCTGCTGTCCCCACACACCCACGGCGGGACCGCGGCTCCTCACGCCTCCAATCTCTCGTCTGTTTGCTGCGCTCTGAGGAACCAAGGGCTGCAGAAAAGGCGGAGCTAAGGGGAGCGGCCGCTCAGCTGATTTCCGAGAAATCAGCAAGGAAGCCGCTCGCCCAGTTTCGCTTTCTGGGTAACCCTTGATGGTGCTGCCTCTGCTCGAGCAGGGCCGGGGCTCTCCCGTCCTCACCCTGGGGTGTCCCCTCAGGAGCCCTTTGGCCCCGATGGCCTCGGACGGGGGCTGAGGGGGAAGGACGCGACGTGGGCTGTAACTTCTCCCCTGCCCCAAACTGAGTGCAGGGGAACTGGGGGCAGCATCAGCGAGCAGGTCAGTGCTGGGGACTGAGCATCCCCTGTGCCCTGTCCCCCTCTAATGCCACCATCACCCAAGAGAGCAGTCACACACAGACACCAACTCTGCTGCAAGCAAAGCACTTTTATTGGCTTCAGGGAAATCCCTGCTCACAAAATCCAAAGCTTTTGAAAGGGGAGGCAGAGCCGTGAGGGGTGTGTGGGGGTTTCTCAGCTGCATTGTGTAAGGCACGGCTTTGGGATCAGGAACCTGCTTGGCTTCTCTTGGGTGTCTTGTCTGGAGTTATCTCCTCCTCATGTTTGTCACTCAAGTTTCTTTTTATTAGGTTTGTCACTTGGAGGTTTTTATCCTTTTTAGGTTGGTCACTTGGAGGTTTATTCCCTTTTGGGAACCAGGCACCGGCTGCTGCACCGGCTGCTGCACCAGCTGAGCCCAGGGCAGCTTGGGCACCAGCAGAAAGACCTGCAGCGCCTGCAAAGAAATATTGAGATGTGAACTCCCAGGAGCATCAAGGCTGCCTGCTGAGGGACTGAGCACTGGGCACAGCCAGCCAAGGACTCCTCCTGGGCAAGGAGAGCCCTGAGAGTTTGGAGCAAATCAGAGCAGGGAGGGGTTAAAGGGCTGCTCTGGCTCTAGAGCCAGCCCGTGCTCCCTGCCAAGGAGATGCAGCCCAGCTCCCCTGCCCTCCCCACTCACCGACGGACTGCAGCACAGCCACGGTGCTGCCTGCAGCCACTCCGCCGCCGTTGGCGATGGCAGCTGCCGACATCATCTTGGCAGCGACGGAGCCGGCGGCGATGCCGACCTTGGTGAAACCCAGTGCAGCAACACCCAGTGGGACGCCAAAGAGTGCCAATCCTGCAGGGAGGGCAGAGCAGCGTGAGGGTGCTCTCTGTGACCCCCATCTCCCCCTGCCACCTGCACCAGACCCGGCCTCCCCAAAAGCACCCAGGGAGCAGAGCGGGCAGCGAGGGCTGGGGCTGCAGGGACGGGGACAGCCCTGGGCGGCAGGAGAGGAGCAGCGTGCAGGGCTGCGGCAGCGGGGGCAGACACAACTCCATTCCAGGCACTGCCCAGAGCTGTCCCTTCTCCTCTTGCCTGCACCCCAATTCTCCCCAGCCCTGGTACTTGTAGCCCCCAGCCCAGCCCAGCCCCCAGGACCCCACAGGGGTGGGACCGGGCAGTGAATCCGAGCGCTGCTCATCCCGTGCCAGATCCTCACCTGCTCCCACTGTGGCTCCAATGACCATTTTAATGGCACTTCCACTTCCACTTCCATTGTCCCCTGAGAACGAAAATGGCAGGAGGGGAGGAAGGACATGAGCATGGACAGCAAAACTCTCCTGAGCAGTGCTGAGCACTCTGTGCCGGGCAGAGCAGGGTCCCAGAGCCAGCAGCAGCTCCTCCAGCCTCCCCCTGCCTTCATCTGCCTTTTGCCTCTCAAGACCCCTGGGAAGAGGCCTCTGGAGGGGTGGGTCCCAGTGTCCCCCCAGGCTGGGGGGAACAGGGGCACATCCCGCAGTGCCCACCCACCCTGCCCTGCCCTGCCCTGCCCTGCCCTGCCCGCCACAGCCACCAACTCGGAACAGCAAGGGACACAGGACAGGTGTCAGCCCAGTCTGTCACCTGCCACCAGCACAAGGTCAATCAAACAGAGTTCATAACAAACTCACCCACTGCCTTGCCAGCCCTTCCCTGTGCAGGGCGAGAGGGAGCAGGGCTGGCAGCAGTGCCCACTGGAATCCCTTCCTGGAGCACAGCAATTCCCAGGGCACTCAGCAGGTACCTGCACACCCACCACCACTGCAGCCCCTCCTGCAATGCCCTTCTGCTTTCGGGGCACCTCTCGCTCCTACAGCTCTTCAGAGGTGCCCAGGCTGCTGGGGCTTCCCAGTGCCTGCCAGGCTGCCTGGCAGGGACCTTGGGGTCAGGCATCTGCTTGGCTTCCCTTGGGAGGTCACAAAGAATGACAGAATGAACTAGGCTGGAAAAGACCTTTGAGATCATCTAGTCCAACCTGTGACCTCACACCCCCTCATCAACCTAACAATGGCACTGAGAGCAACATCCAGTGTCTTTTTAAACACATCCAGGGATGGTGACTCCACCACCTCCCTGGCCAGACAATGTCAGTGCCCAATCAGTCTTTCAGTGGAGAACTTTTTCCCTGATGTCTCACCCAAACTTCCCATGAACTTTACCTGGATTATCCCCATTGTTGGGACCATCATCGGGACCATTGTCGGGACCATTGTCAGGACCATTCCCAGGACCACCATCAGGACCATTCTCAGGGCCACCACCAGAACTATCCTCAGGACCACCACCAGGACCTTCCTCAGGACCATCCCCATCCTTGGGTTTATCACCATGATCTGTCTCATCCCAGGATTTCTCATCTGAATTTCTCTCCTTCTTGGGCTCATCACCAGGAGTTGTGTGCTCCCCAGATTTCTCATCCAAAAGTGTCTCCTCCTTGGGTTCCTCCTCTGGAGTTGGCTTCATCTTGGACATCTTGGCAGAGTCTCCTGCACCAGTGACAGCAGGATAGATGTCAGCCCAATTTTGGCACCAAGAGAGAAACCTGCAGCTCCAGGCTGGTCCTGCCCCTCCCTCACAGCAGCATCCTGAGTCTCTCCTTCCCAGCACTCACAGCCCCAGCCTGGCAGTGAACCCCAGTGCCAGACCTTTACCTCCAGTGGCAGCTCCTTTGCCTCTGTGTCTCACAGCAAAGAGGGGAAAAAGCAGGAGGGCAGGAGGGAGAAAAGGAAAAAGAAAGCAAAGGGGACAGGGAAGTTGGAAGAGGGAAGGAAGCAGCGCTGCCCACCTGCCCCCGGCATTGCTCACCTGCCTGCGGTGCCCAGTGCACTGGAATGGGCCCGTGGTGCCCGATGGACTGGGATGGTCCCGCGGTGCCCGGTGCCCTGGAAAGGTCCCGGTGCCCGCCCCGGGGCCGCCCCGTCCCAGCCACACCCAGGGAGGAGGCAGCGGGCTGAGCTTGATTCTCCATTCGGGCGGTCAGACACAGCAAGGGGGGCACGGCACACAGGTGAGGGTCCCGGCCGCAGAACCAGAGGGGTTCCAGAGTCACGGCAGATGAGTGCGAGGGTCCTGTTGCGTACGGGAGGGTCACGGCACCCTCAGACTCTGCCCAGGCCCCTTCCTCAACCAGGGCTTGGTGGATGCTCCCCGTTATTGCCCCCAAGGTGAGCAGGGCCCCTTATTGCCCCCCCTGCACAGAGAAAGGGGGTGCTGTCCCCAAACATCCACTGTGGGAGCACAGCACTCCACACCACCAGCCTGTCCTGTGTCTCCTGTGCTCAGAGGGTCAAAGGGCAGCAGGAAAGGTACCAACAGGTAATGTCACCACAGGTAATTTCCGAGAAATTGCTCAACCACAGAGTTTCGGTTTCATTCTAATCAACAATTGATTCTACTGTCTCAGCTGCAGCAGGGCTGGGGCCCCCCCATGCCCAGGACTTTGGACCTTGCGGTTTTCCCTGCAGGGAGCCTGTGCCTTTCCACTGTGGGAAACTGCGAGGAATACTTCTAAAAATAGATGGTCTGGAACAAAATTAAGTCAACTTAGACAACATTGTATCTGAAAACTGTTCCTTCATAACAAAAAAACAAACAAACAAAAAAAGTTACCCTACCCTACCACCCTACCCCTGAGCCACGATGCACACCAGGCACCACCACACACACCCACACCAGAAATGCACTTTTAATAAAGGTTTCAAAAGAATTTATTACTCAAGGCCATCCAAATCTGTTAAAGGGGCAGCTGCTGTTTGGTGGGGGCATTCTAGTCCATGCTGTGGGAAGACATGAAGCATGCTGCTTGGAAGGAAGGAAATCGCCTTCTGTTCACTGCCCATGGTGATCAGGCTCTCTTCTTCTGTTCAGCAAGGCATTGTATGTCCTCCCTATAAAGACAAGAGTATCAGGTCCCAGAAGCATCAAGGCTGCCTGCTGATGGACCAGCATGAGGCAGGAACAGCCAAAAATATCTCTCCAGTAAGAGTCTCCTCAGTCTGTGCCAGAGAATTGGCTGCAGTCAGCTCTGCTCCCTGAGCACACCCAGCCCCTTTCTGCTCTCCATTTCCACCTCTGGCCAGCGCTGCCAGTGGACCCGGCAGTTCTTGCCACAGAGCACTCACCTCCCAGAACAGCCCCTGATGCCCTCAGCCCTGACCCCTACCCCATCGTGTCCTGGCTCTTCCCACCACATTGGGATGGATCCCTTTCCTCATCTTTGGGCACATTCAGACCAGTGAGGGGTTCAAGGGCTGCTATGGATTCAGAATAAGCCCAGGCTTCAACCCCGTGTTCCACCCAGCACAGCCCAGCCCCCCTGCACTCCTCACTCACCAAAATGGAAACGTACACCCAGGAGATTGATATCGATGTTCAAAGGTTCATTCCTTGCTATTCCTGCAGGGAGGACA